TGATGCACTTTCAAGGTTTTGTACCTCTCAAGTACAAAGAAGAGAGAAAAACAAAAGCACCCCGCTAAAAATTTTCACAAAAATAGCGAAATCGTTTTTCAAACTCACGTTAGAAGAATGTAAGATAGAAAGAAACATCACCCACACGTTCCCCAATTCCGCAAGATTGCAAGAAGCGTTGAATAAAGGAAGAAGAATAAAATAAAAGATCAANAGAAGAATAAAAAAAGATCAATCACGTTTTTGAAGCAAAAGCTTAGAAAAACTAATCACCAATGTTTATTTTCAGCATATTAAGCCCTTTAAATAGGCCTTACAATGAGTAAATTTGGTAAGGTTAAGGAAAACTAATCCTAATTAAACTAGAATAAGAATAAGGCTAAGAAAACCTATCCTTACTAAAATAGGAAAAAGAATTCTAGTATGAATGGGATACCAACTAACTATCGTAGTTTGACTAGAACTACAAATATAATCCTACTAAAACAAAAATTAAATTACTAGGAAACAAGAAATAAGAAAGCCCAATCTTTAAGGAAAAGAAATCTTAATCTTGGATGAATTCTTGGACTTCATGAATTTCTTGGATTTTTAGCTTTCTTGATCTTGCATCATTCTCCCTGGTTGAAAAAGACTCGTCCTCGAGTCTAACAGCTTCCATAGATGGCGCAAGATTTGCTATAATAAGAATGGAGACCCAAGGGGTAAAAAAATGGGGACCCAATCCTCGCGGGGATTTAAGTTACATTTTGCTAGTTTATCATAGAGCTTCTTCACATTGTAAGCAAACTTAGCATGTGGACGAACTAAATCGCACTTTCTATGTTTCAACTTTCTACCAAGTCCTCTCCATGTAATCTTTCTATATTGACTCTCAAACTTCAACTTACGATATGAAGTTATTGGTATAGACTTAACCAACTCCATGACTAGCTTTAGGTTAAGCATGGAGATCAATGCTCTTCTTGGGAATGCATCAATTGCATCGCTCGTACACCAACCGTCACTTTGATGATAGCCATATATATATATATTTATGACGTTAAGACATCCTGTTTCTCCAATAAATGGACTCAAACTCTCCATTATCCACTTCTTTATAGATAATTTTTCCTCTGTTCTAGCATATTCTATGGACTTTAGAATTAACGCAATATGTTGCCTTGTTTGGATTGATAGAGTCAACAATCAAGTCAATATTGTGTTGAGCTTCTCTAAAAGGTGGTAAGTCAATGACACACATAGTTGGGTTCAGATCAATAAAACTTCGGTGAGAACTCCTCAATTAGTGGATCCAATGCTTGTTCCTCGTCTCTTTGATATTGGTCTTCATCAACTTTGTCCTCTTCACGCCCCTGATTATCTGAATATTTATCATAATGGGCATGGTGCCTTGGTACTCTTGTGCCTTGGTCAGCTTCAACATCTTCAGCTCTTTGTGAATGAATTGGTGGATGTAGAAGTGGTAGATGTAGCGGTTGTAGGCGTTGTGGCGGATTTGGTAGTTGATATAGAAACACCAAACCTTCAACTAATTTAGTCAGATTCTCCATTGATTCAAGGTTAAGAAAAACTAATCCTAATTAAACTAGAATAAGAATAAGAATAAGGCTAAGAAAACATATCCTAACTAAAATAGGAAAAAGAATTCTAGTATGAATGGGATACCAACTAACTATCCTAGTTTGACTAGAACTACAAATATAATCTTACTAAAACAAAAATTAAATTACTAGGAAACAAGAAATAAGAAATCCCAATCTTTAAGGAAAAGAAATCTTAATCTTGGATGAATTCTTGGATTTCTTGAATTTCTTAGATTTTTAGCTTTCTTGATCTTGCATCATGGAGCCTGAATAGCACATTGTGGTGCACGAGACGAAAGGAGAGAAGAGGGAAAAAAGGGAGATGATGGGTTTGAACGGGGGAGAAAGAGGTGAGAAGGGGAAGGAGAACAAGTAATTGGTTATGTCAGAATGGGACATGATATCCTCGGATTCAGGAAACTCGTAGGAGTTTCCTACAAGGATTTTGAGGATAGAATTATGGGGTTGCCAACAGATATTGTGTAAGTACAAGGGAAGCTAGTAGTCGCAAAGGAAAGGGACGGAAGACGAGCAAGGAGGAAAAAGGGGAAAAAGTGAAGCGAGGAAAAAGCACATAGTGGTGCACGAGATGAAAGGAGAAAAGTGGGAGAAATGGGAAAGGATGGAGGTGACCGAGGGAGAACGAGATGAGAAAGGGGAGGAGAACCGATAATTGGTTATTTCAAAAGGGGACATGAAATAGGTGGATCAAATTGTCCTAGGATTCGGAAAACTATATTGGCTTCGTATGACGATTTTTGAGGATAGGATTATAGGGCTAACAAATATTTTGCAAGTAGAAGGGATGCTAGTAGTGGCGAAGGAAAGGAACGGAAGGTGGCCAAAGAAGCGAATGGGGGAAAAAGTGAAGCTAGTGAAAAACACATAGTGGTGGACTAGAGAGAAAAGGGAGAAATGGGAGAGGATGGGCACCCAAGGGTGTGGCCTAGTGCCTCAATGAAGTGGGGCGAGAACCATGAGGTCTCAAGTTCAAATCGAGGCAAAACACTAGGTGATTTCTTCCCAATTGTTCAAGTCTTGGTGGATAGAGTTACCCGGCACATGTTGTAATGAAACATGGAGATGTTCTTGAGGGTTGAGATGAGGGAGTTAACAAATGAACTGGGGGAGATAGAGAAGTTGCAGGGAGAAAGGGAATTAGAGGAGGGTAAGACGAGAAAGGAAGAGGTGAAAGCTGTAGCCTCGGAAATTTGTTGGAGACAAGTTCTTTTTACAGAAAATTTTTTGCTAGTAGGAGAAGTAATTTCACAAAGTATGAAAGTTAAAGCATCGTTGTGTGAGAGAGAAGAAGAGGTTAAGGCGGCAAGTTTAAGATTCAATACCAATCTTTATTTGAGAAAGGGAGCATTGAGACCAACATTATGGAGTTTCGATTTTAGCCATACAAGGGGAAGATGAAGAAACGGTTGGTGAGGGTTTCAGAAAAGGAGGTAAAAGCTATGCGGGAGATAAAGCACTGGGATCAGATAGCTTCATGTTGGCTTTCTTCAACAGGGATCAAGTAATGTAGAGGTTTCTTTTAGCTAGTCTTTCAACAAAGGCTATTGAGGAGAGTGGACACATTTTTCCCCATTCGTCCGTATGGATTGCTAGAGCTATATGAAAAGATGAGCTTCTTCATTTGGTTCGCAGCAAGGGAACCTATCCTTACCGGTGAAAACATGACAAAAGGAAGGATAACATATGTCAGAGGTAATACATGTGCATGCTCTCGAGTGAGAACATAAACCATTTATTGATACGATCCAAGTAAGCAATAAAAAACTGGTAGACGGCATTGGAACTTACGTGGATATTGTGGAGTGAGAAAAAAAGGAGAGAAGGTATGAGAGGTTTTGTACAATTTAGGAATCTTTTGCTTTTAGTCAATTTTTGGTGCAGCCAATACTTGGAAAGTATATTTTAGTGTAGATCCTCTATTATTTTGCAAGTCACCAGTACAACGGGTGTTTACTCGCACCATCAATCAAATTATTGCTTTGACAAATAACAAATCAGTACAAACCCTAGTTCTATAGTTTTGGGGCATTATATAGTTTTGAAAGGCGGAGATAATGTATTTTAGGCAATAACAATAATTTAAAAACTAAAATCCTTAACTAGGAGATAAAACACAATGCATCAAACTCCTAAAGCAAAGAAGAAAAAGAAGTTGCTCCCGCTTTAGGCAAATACATATATGTTGATTGTTGGGATTATTTTTCTGTTATATCATGTTATATTAGAATGAGACACTTATGTTGTGTAATCTTGGATTTGTTTTCTTGTCTGCCATTTCTTAGGTGACTGACCAGTTTAGTTGATTTGTTTCTTTATTATAACGTGAATACTGATAAGAAAGCAAAGAAAATATGAACAAAGTACAAAAAGAAATGTTCGACCATTATCAAAGCACTACTACCTTTTTAAGTGAACTGTTTGCACTTACGAGCTAAAGGAATTCAAATTAGATCTCTTATATCGATCTACATACAACGAAACATTCACTAAACCTCAACATTAAATAACAAAAAGAAAGTGAAAACAAAACGCAAATGCTAGCTATCATGCATTGTTTCCTGAAATTTCAAAAAATCACAAAAGTTTTGTCACTATGTATTAGACATGGGCTCTAAGCAAATCAAAGACTTATATCCTTTATCCCTAGTCTCTCTATTAATATGAGATAAACGACTAAGTGATACTTAATCAGTTGCCAGCAGATTATGGGTGAGAAAATTTAAAATAAAAATAAGTACATCTAATACCTCGCATGAGGAGGAGGCCAGTAGCAATACCAATTCCCCCAGCCATAGCAGGGTGCTCTCTCGCAGTTACCAACTCAGCTGAAAGGATAGGTTGAAGTAAGGCATTTATAGGAGAAAAATCCATTTGCCAAGTTAATCTCTAAATCAAATTCTTATTATAATATCAATAAAGTCACAATGGTCTAGTCGAATTCTGAAGGGCAACAATAAGAAGTAAGGATACGAAGGAACAAAGGAGATAAGAAATTCACACATTCCTTTTATTCCCTCGGATAGGTAAAGCGTGCATTGAATGAAGCACCGTAGTAAAGGAAGAAAAATAGGAACTAGCCAAATCTAAAGGCTAATAAAGGCTAACACAAAGAACAAAGAAAACTGAAATACTAATCAGCTCCTTGAACAGCTTTTTCCTTCCCAACGTAGCATGCAGAGCCACTTTATCATGTTCATCGGTAAAGATTCTCCCTAAAGCATCAAACTTCATTTTTTTTTTTAATTTCAATGACCCCTCATCAAGCAAAGCGGACTTCATCTCAAAATTTCTTATAAATTTACAATGCTGATACCCTGCCATGTCAATGAAGATTCCTTGCTGGAATGAGACATTGCCCGATAGATATTAAAGAAAGCATAGAGCATAATGCATCGGTCATGCAACATCTCAAAATGGAAAAAGGATGATTGATTGACTTCTCTTCATACAAATATAGCAGGAAATCATTTACATTACATGTATCAGAAAGCAAGTTTGTTCAAGACTGGTAGCATCTACAAACCATGAGGGTTCACTTGTTTTTGAAAATATGCAACAAAAGCTCATTGACCAACATGAATGACATCTATTTACAAGGCGTTCAGGAGGATAGAAGCATAATAGTCCATAATAACTATAAGAAGGCAAGTGCAAGTTACCTTTAATTTTCCCGAAGAAAACTTCTTCATATGGCAAACGCCAGCAGATCTACCTTTGTCTCTCTGGACAGAAGGCAGCTACCTCAAGCTACTCACAAGGTCCGGCACCGAAATCTGCACAAAAAGTGCAGAGTGCAATATCAGTACAACCGACCCCATGTACTGGTAAGTGTCGAGCCTGACCTCGGCGAAGTAGTGACGAGGCTAGCACACGACAACCATATAAACCTGTGCAGTTAAATCNACTTAAAGGCACATTTAAGCCCGAAAAAGTGAGCAAAATCAATTGTGTGCTTCGTTTGCTTAGGTGGTGCTTTGCTTTAGTGCTGGCACTAAGTTGTGTACCTCATTCCCACGGGCTCGGTCTTGAAGAGTGCGTTGTTGAAAGAGAATTATTTCTTCTAAGAGTAATTTTTATAATTTTTTGTCTAAATAATTGTTGTTTGTGCTTTATAGTTATTATTTTGAACTACATATAATTTTTTTAATTTGTTTATACACACAAATTTTTATCTTTTCTTCATCAAAGCACATGCTTTATATGCACTTTATGCTAAAAGCCTTAACAGATTTCAGCACTTTTTCTCACTTTTGGCCTCTGATAAAATTGAGTGGGATATCCAACACCTGCGCACCCTCCCTCCCCCCCCCCCCCCCAAAGCACCTCAAAAACATCTTGTGCGTGGACAATATAATATGGGAGCCTAACATCATGAAAAACAAGAACTTGGACAGATCTGCCTCCGACACAATGTGAAGAAAATAGACCTTGGGAAATTTCAACCAGACGTTAGTTCATGATTTGCGGACTACCTAACACCATCTAAGGAGACAATAGTACATGCACAAATATGAGACATTATAACATGCACATTAAATACTTTGGACAACCTTCCATGGGAAATATAACAATAGAAAGAGCAAATCAACCACTTCATCAACTCCCATTTCTTTCTTAGCTTTTTTTTCCTATCCTTGAAGAGTATACTCATTTTTTTCCCTCTACTTTGTTCAGAAACAACAACAACAACCCAGTATAATACTATAATCCCACAAGTGGGTCCTGGGGAGTGTAGTGTGTACGCAGACCTTACACCTACCCTGGTGGGGCAGAGAAGTTGTTTTCGATAAACCCTCTGCTCAAGAAGATGAAAAGAGATAATAGTACAGTAACAGCAACAGAGGCCAGAAAGATAGTACCAGCAACCTAAGAACCAGAAAAATAGATAGAAAAGGCAATATCAATTAACCAGTAACAATGGCAAGGTACTAGGAACCGGAGCGGAAAAAAAATATGAACACAACATGAACCACTAGCAGTTTAAGACAAGACACTATCTGACTAGCCTTACACCCAGCACGGAAGAAAAACGCTCAACTACCTACTAACTTTTAACCCTAATGCTCGACCTCCACACCTCCCTATCAAGGGTCATGTCCTCGGTAAACCGAAGTCGCGCCATATCCTGCCGGATCAGCTCTCCCCAATACTTCTTAGGCCGCCCTCTGCCTCTTCTCACACCCGCCAAAGCCAACCGCCCACAACTCCTTACCGAGGCATCTAGGCTTCTCCTCTACACGTGCCCGAACCATCTAAGTGTCGCTTCCCGCATTTTGTCTTCCATGGGGGCCACGCCCACCTTCACCCGAAAATCTTCATTACTAATCTTATCCAACCTAGTGTGCCCGCACATCCATCTCAACATATTTATTTCTGCTACTTTCATCTTCTGGATATGGGAATTCTTGACTGGCCAACACTCTGCCCCATAAGGGAGGTGGATGCAATGTTCATGTAGGCTGCCAAAGAAAAGCTTGAAACATGCAAGCGCTAATCGTGAATTATTTTAATGAGATTAGCGAGCTCGCGCAATTATTTAGTAACATGTTAGCCTATATGCATTTATTGTTTTTTTCGGTTACACTGTTTAGGTTCCTTATGTAACACTATGGTTATAATAATAAATGCTCTACTCTGGATAACTAATTTTTTCCAATAACTGAACAGAGCCACTAGTAGTTACGGTTGAGCCGGTCAAGTCATTCTTCTTGGTAAGGCAACGTGTTGGAAGCAAATAGCTGGCATTTGGTAACAGAATTTCTTTTGGGGGACTTCAAGATTGCTTCCTGGAGTCTAAATTATGAGGAGGTGAACTTCAGAGAAAGGGTAAATCATTTGCTTGTTAGCCTCAAGTTTTCCCTTCCTGACATTTAAAGATTTGGGAGTCATAATGGCTTTGGGTGTCAGCTCATTGTCACATGTTGGCTGAAGATGTTAAAGCAACTTTAAGAAAAGGAAGAGGAGATAACTTTCCTAGCAACTTGATGTTGAAAAGCTCATGACATAACTTCATGTTCTTCCTCACTCGGGTAATAGGAGTTTTTGGCTTTTCTACACAACCGCTCAGAAAGGCCTCTTCAATCATCCACATTACATTCTTTCTGACGGTAAACTGCACAGTTTTCAAGTTTGAGGCGTGTTAACTATCTAAAATGAGCCTCTCTTGAATTATTAGTTCCCTTTTATATCAAGCCAACTTAATGGTGATAGTTCGACGAAGAACCCACAGGTTTTTTTGTTCCATTCTTACTGCATAGCTCCAGTGAAATATTCCATAGCAATTCAGCCCGCCCAACAAGAGGTCACTCAAGAAAATGGTAACCCTTCAAACTTCTTTGAGGACATGCCTTGACATAATGGTAGAATTTCTCTTTGGGGACCTATAGTTCACAAGTTCAAGGTGCAAAACAGCCTCTTTGCAGAAATGAAAAGGGAAAGCTGTGTACTAAAAAACCCCACTCTGCCAATACCACTGTATTAGCACGAGAGCATTTTGTGCATGCGGTAAGTCCATTTTAATCCTTCAAACTCCAGCAACATAAATCTAAATTACGGTCCTTGCGAAGCTATAAGCCTTCAAATTAAACCATTTATCTTCTACCTGATCAGTTATCTACATTAGTTTTAGTGCTACAACTAAGAGAGGAAACTTGCAAAACTTTGCTAAGAAGGGGAAGAGAAATTTCGAGTGAAAAGTTGCACAATTGTACCCCCACAGCCCCAACTCATTTGCCTGATGGACCAGTATCAGAATACGTAGAAGAACTCTCACGAGAAAATCATGCAAAATAATAATTTATTGACAAGTACCAATTATAATCCCCTCAACTCCAGCAAAGGAACTATAAATTAAGGTTATTGCTGACCTGTAAGGTCTCAAAATCAAATAATCTTTCACAGCCTTGAAGACACTGACATTTGGAGCTGAATTTATCTAGGTTCTACACTTGTAAGTCTTTTTACCCATACCATTTCCATTAATGGGATACAGAGGGGCGGAGCTACCCTTGTTCGAGTGGAGTCAATTGAAATCCCTTCGCCAGAAAATGACACTACGTAGATAGGTCAAATTCTTTTAAATGTTTATATCGGCTTCTTTACTTTTTTTGTATTTTGAAACTCCTAATGAAAATCATGGCTTCTCCACAGGGGATACATACAACAGTTTTTAACATTTTAAATATTCATATCTGGAAGAATATGAGATCCCAAATGAAGATACAGTAAACATAAACAAATCCAAAAAGAAAAAGCAGATATGATATTCATCGCATTACTAGAAAACCCGGGCTAGAATGAAAAATTTTAAATGGTAGGGTTACCGAAAACCTGAAGAGTGCGGAGGTGGGTGGAGGAAGTATATTGGATGAAACGGGCAGAGCGTAGGGCGGAGTCAGTAGACTCTTGTACTGTGCGAGGAAGATCCTCTGAGATGTAAGAGTGCCATGCTTTCTCTTTGTTTTGCGAAGGCAAAGGCGGCGATGATGATGAGGGATAGATGTCAACAGCAGGAGGGGCTTCTTCTCCCATCTTCCTCGTCGATTTCAGCTACTCCGATAGTACGGATACACAAAACAGAATGGCAGGGAAATACTAATTGACTGCCAAAAAACTACTTATTTTCAAAAACGCTTATTAAAAAAGTACTTTTGTAAAATAAGTTGTTTGTGTTTGCAGGATTAGTAGTGCTTGGCCAATTTTTTAAAAAAGTACTTTTTAAGTATCAAATTACAAAAAAGACAGTAAAGATTCAATTTGCATTAGTATTATTTAGAAAAGAAACATAAATTTAAATATTTTTTAGAAAAGAATTCCATTAAAATATAAAATGTAAAAGTGAAAATATAAATTAAAAATTCTCATTAATATAATATTGTTATTCCAAAACAATAATATTGAGTGTTTAGTGTTACTTATTATTTACATGATAATTTAAATTGTCAAAATACGTCATTCGATATAAATTTAAAATCTACTCTTAGAAATAGGAGAAAGCGAATAAAAATGTAATTAAAATAAAAAAGAGAATAAACTTATAGCAGAAATAAAATAAAAGGAAAAGTAAAAGAAAAAGAAAAATTAAATTAATGAGGGATAATTTGAAAAATATAAATTTATTGTATAGGTTATTTTTATCTTGAATAAATTAACTTTCTGCTTCTGCTTTTGCTTTTTGGAAGAAGCTAGAATTTTTAGCTTCTCCCCAGAAGCGGAAAAACTGTTTCTGCTACTGCTCAAAAGTACTTTTTCATTTTGGCCAAACACCTTAAATTTTTCAAAAAGTGCTTTTTTGACCAAAAAAAAATGTACTTTTGGCCTCCTAGAAGCTTGGCCAAGCAAGCTCTAAGTTTTATTATTAATAATATTATTTTTTTTAATACTGATATTTTATTTGTTTCTGATGTTTTGTGTCATAAGAATGTGCAACCAAAACTTAAGGGTAAGTTCTATATAACGATTAGCTATGTTGTATGGGGTGGAGTGTTGGCCAGTCAAGAACTCCCATGTCCATAAGATGAAGGTAGCTGAAATGAGGACGTTGAGATGGATATGCGGGACAGAATTAGAAATGAAGTTATTCGGGACAAGGTGGAGGACAAGATGTGGGAGGCGAGACTTAGATGGTTCGGATATGTGATAAGGAGAGACATAGATGCTCCGATGAGGAGGTGCGAAAGGTTGGCCCTGGAAGGCCTGATAAGAGGTAGAGGCAAACCGAATAAGTATTGGGGAGAGGTGATTAGGCAGGATATGGCGTTGCTCCTGCTTGCTCAGGACATGACCATGGATAGGAAGGTACGGAGGTTGAGAATAAAGGTTAAGGGTTAGGACAGGTAGCCGAGTGTTGTCCTGTGTGTATTGTCATATCCTTGATTTCTGTTATTACTTGTTGGTGCTTTCGTTTCTGCTTTCTGATTACATTACTTACTGTTAGTTTTGTATTTTTGCTCTGGTTTTCCGATTGATATGCTTGTTGTTGTCCTTCTTTTATCTTTTTCGAGTCGAGTTTCTACCGGAAACAACCTCTCTGCCTTCTTGGAGGTAGGGTAAGGTCTGCGTACACTCTACTCTCCCTATACCCCACTAGTGGGATTATAGTGGGTTGGTGGTGGTGGTGGTAAAGTCATCTAATAATTGGAAATTATGTAATTACTAGGGTAGTAATTACACATCCTAATAATTATACAATATAGTAATTACGACGATATGTTTGTTTGTCATAAGTTAATTACACCGTAATTACAAGCGTACTGTTTGGTTACACAAGTGTAATTACACAGTTAACTTAAATTATAAATAAAGTTACTATCAAAACTAAAACTTAGTGTAATAAATATATGCCTATAAATAATTTTTTATAATTATAAATGATATTAGATTTGGTATTTAAGATGAATATTTTTCATTGAATATATATTAATTAGTAAATATATATATTATATATATATATATATATATATATATATATATATTGTAAAAATAATTGATATATGTTTTCCAAATTAATAATATTTAGTTTAATTAATTACAAAAAACATATTGTATAGGGTCAAATTTGACCCTCAGCATCTCTACGCCAGTGGGTACGCCCAGTGAGTACGCCGACTAACGTAGCGGGTACGACTCGGACGAGGGACAAAAGCGACATCGTTTAGGACTCAGTGTCTTCACTAGGGAGACGTTACCTGTCTTTGTAACTTTTTGATTCTTTCGAGGAAGGTCTCTTATTATATAAAGGAGACCTTCACATTGTAAAAGGGATTCGGATCTAATACAACTCTCTCATTTTCTGGCTTTCTCTCTCTATGTCTACCTAAAACGAACATATCTTACTGAGTTCATATTATCACTTTGCAATACTAGATCTACAACAATAATATCATCTTTGCATCTCTAGGTTTATTATATTTGATTACGATTTACCTTTTTCTTACTTTTGATTGTTTTCTAGCTTACAAAGTATATTGTTAACTTTTGAGCCAAACAATTTGGCGCCGTCTGTGGGGATTTCGAGAATCAAAACCATAGTATCCACCTAGAGATCAACCAACTACCACTCTCTACACCACCCAAAAACAGAAAATGGCCGAAAATAACACCAGATCGAAAGCTCTATTGGGTGTCACTACCAATCTCCTTGGCCCTCTCAACGAGGCCAGTGACGATGGCATCCTGAATGCAACCCCTAGCATCACACCGGGTGCAGAGATCTCACCTTCCCCATCCGAAGGTCTGATGATCTTGCACGAAAAAGGAGCTTCCACATCTGCGGCTACGGAAGCACCCTCAGCAGTCAAGGAGCTACTGGAAAGATGGCTAACAAGCACTCTAAGTGACTTGGTTGAGAGGTCACCACAAAGTAACATCGGGTGTACACCAACGGTAGGTACCACTGCTGCCGTGGGTGAACCGGAAGTTGCACTAGCGAATAACAAACCCATCGAGACACAGACCAACGTTAGCACGCTAACAGCCATCCTAAAGAAGATGGAAGAAATGGAAAATGAAAACAAGGCGCTCCGCGGTCAGATGAAGGAACATCAGGAGAGGGTCGACAAGATCCTCGGTGCTCCCAAGTTGCTACCAAAACGCGACGTGGGAAGGTTCGTTGAACAACCATACACTGAAGATGCTGCCCCTCACTCCACCCCAAAAACCTTCAAGATGCCACCCTACTTGAGGGTATATGACGGAACCACAGATCCCGAGGATCATCTGATCCACTACGTCACCGCTGTGAAGGGCAACGACCTATCGAAAGAACAGGTACCGTCGGTACTGCTGAAAAAGTTTGGCGAGATGTTGACAGGAGGGGCCTTAACATGGTACTCTCAGCTACCGGCTAAGGCAATATCAACGTTCGAGGAAATGGCGGATAAGTTCGTCACAGCCCATGCAGGCGCGAAGAAAGCGGAGGCCAGGGTCAACGACATCTTCGCCGTCAGGCAAACCACAGGAGAGGGACTCAGGGACTTCCTGGCAAGGTTTAACAGGGTAAGGATGAGTCTACCAAACGTATCGGAAGGTATGGCAGTCGCCGCTTTCCAGAACGGGCTAAGCAGAGATGGTTCGAGGGCAACCAAGAAGCTGCTGAGCCGCCTCATGAAATATCCCCCTACCACATGGGAGGAAATCCACAACGCCTATTGCGCCGAGGTACGAGTGGACGAGGACGATCTTAATGGGCCGACCCAACGGCTAACAGCGATACACTCAGAAACGAGGAGAGATCGACGGAACGAAGGACGACGAGAACAACTCCCCCGCTCCAACAGAGATCGACATCAGCCATACACCAGATCCTCCCATCCGCCACCAAGGCATACAGACGTGCTACAGCGACACGTCGCCCCACTCCGAAACAAAAGAGGTACGCCCCCTTTATTAACCGCCCATAACTTTTGTGTATCTCCTTCAGAAATAGTGTACGCACTGGAGAAGCTGGGCACCAAGGTGCAGTGGCCGCAGAAGATGAATCAGACCCCACCACAAGGAAATCAAACGCCATATGTGAGTTCCATCAGGAACGAGGGCACAAAACCGAAGACTGCATAGGCCTACGGCAAGAGGTGGTCAGGATGCTGAACCAGGGATACCTGAGGGAGTTACTCAGTGACAAAGGGAAAATCAACTTAGCACGCGGACGGGAACAACCCCACGGGCCGCAGAGCCACTTCCCCAGCGCGCACGATAAACATGATCGTCGGAGGTGGCGACGAGTCAGTGATCAACCACGTCAAGCTCGCCACCACACACGGACTAAAGCGGACCATCGCCCATGAACGGTATGACGACTTCGAAGACAGTATCACCTTCGATAAGTCTGATGCCGACGGTTTGTCTTTCCCTTATTATGATGCTTTAGTTATCACTTTACGTATCGCTGATACGGATGTTAAAAGAGTCATGATCGATGACGGAAGTGGCGCCTGTATTATCCACCCAAGGGTCCTCGTACAAATGGGACTCGAGGATAGGGTAATACCGCGCTGCATAACACTAACCGGTTTTAACAATGCAGTGGAACGGACGTCCGGAGAAATAGCACTGCCCGTCTTAGCGGGAGGAGTCACGCTGGAAACAACTTTCCACGTGATGAACCAAGAAACGGCGTACAACGTCATCATAGGACGCCCGTGGATACACGCCATGCGAGCAGTCCCTTCAAGCCTCTACCAAGTGATCAAATTTCCTACCCCATGGGGAGATTCAGTATTCGAGGCGAGCCACGCACCGCACAAGAATGCTACAAAATAGCCCAAGACTGCGCCCACACCCAACAGCTAAAGGGGGCGAGCGCGGAGGCATAGCAATTAGCCGTGTCGGGAACTAAGGCAACCCGACAACGGACGTCATCAAAGACCCCGACGTCGTGGAAGCCTGTAAAGCAACGGTCGAAGATCTCGACCCAGTCCAATTGGACGAAACCGATCTTACGAAGAAGGCCTATATCGGGCACGGTCTCGCCAACCCAAGTAAGTATTGTGAATTCTTAACTAACCATGCAGATTTGTTCGCCTTTTCCCATTCAGATATGCTGGGAATCCCGCGAGACATCGCCACCCACAAGCTGAATGTCGATCCACTACATCCGCCCGTGCGACAGATG